GGGGGGTGTGGTCAGGGGTCAGGTGTTTTCCATGATAATAAATCAATCGTACAAAAGGAAACATGAATGTTTATATAATCTACTGTTTGGTCCATGCGTCCGAGATTCAAAATGAAAACATCACACCGTTTTGCTGTGTTGACTGTTATTGAGAGTAGAATTATAGTGTAAAAGTTGACATGACGCATTTCACCAGCATCAAGCTCTATCTCCCTAAAGAGACTTAGTATTAAGGTAAAAGTAAAAGTTAAATACTAATTAAGTCCGTAAGAATATGTAAAACTTCCCTTCTCGTATGCTGTTTGCCTAATTGTTCAGAAACGTGTACATACATATTATTTCCTATTACCCTATGTATTTATTTTTTAAAAAGCAACGCTCATATGTCTGTATTCAGTTGAGGGCGTCATAAAACCTTACTAAAGACAAAGAAAAAAACAACAACAAAAGCCAACTAACCAAGCAACCAACCAATCAACCAAACAAACAAACAAAACCCTCGGTATAGCCTTTGTTTCAAATTTCATGGTCGTCTTTTCCTCTGCAGTCACCGACTTTCTCTCTTTCGTCGTCGGATCAACCAGCGTCTTTAAAAGTGTCAGCAATTTCTGCATATACGCAGGTAAGTATATAGTCGTATTTTGTGATACGACCCTCTAATCAACAAAAGTTTAAAACTTTTTTTAATTGGACAAGTCGATAGTAAATTATACACTTCATATGCTCAGCGAAAGAGAAGCCTGAAAGCTCCTAAAAGATCAGAAACAAAGCCGAACAACCCGCAGGCCACCATGTTGCTCCGTCTCCAATTTCTTCCGCCACCCCCTCACCTCCTTTGCCCCTCCCTCTCTGCTGACTCATTCTCTAGCCTTTCTACTGCTTCTTATTGGCTCTCACTTACTGCTCTTTTCCAGCCACACCCCTGGCCTTATGGTAGGTAAGATCTAACACTTTGCCTTCTCGGATAAGGGCGAACAATCTCGGAGGTCCCGTGTGCAAGTTGCGCACGTTAAAGATTCTATGGTTGTCCAAAATCGATATAGAGTAGGCTTCGCCACCACCTGAGCGAAATTCAAAATTTCCTACCAACTAAAGATGTTTAGTGTGTCCTGCTTGCCTAACTGACCTTATGTAGTTACGAGCGCCATAAAACACTTACTTTACTAGTAACTAGCTTAATTTTATCAAAACTCGATTATTGTAACTCTTTGTTATCAGGAATATCACTGGAGAAAGTTAAAAG